ACCCCATTCCTTACTTCTGTGCACGTTTTAAATATCCTGAAAGACAGGTTCAATGATTTTTCCTGGTTAGTCTAAATTGTCTATTTCATTGTAATCCCAGTGTATTGTGTATACAGTGTAAACATGGTTAAAGTGCTTGTAATTTATCCAGCTTGTCGTGTTATATATGTAACATAATACATTCTCCTTCAAGTCCCATAGACAGAAATGAGTACGTTTTACTTTTCTTTTTTTCGGCAAAAAAAGTAAAGATTTGTTTACGCTAACTATGAAATTTGTCGTCACAATTTCCTGTAATTGTTGATGAAATTTGAATTTAAAATCAATTAACGTCAATTATGAAATCTTTAGTCTATAAATATATCTAGTAAAATTGTATTTTTTAAATGCAATTAAACGTTTCTTAAGATTATTTTATTTAATATAAAAAATAAGAATTGCTCAATTTTCTTGTCTGTTTTAAACCCTGTAAGAGAGATTTAGCAATGCCTGTGTCTAGTTAATGTACATTATATCCTCTATGAGGTGTAATGGATCTGAGCTGGGAACTTTAGAATGGTGGATATCGAGATTAATGCTTGATCCTCTCTTTTTCTTAATATTGAGACTAACCTAATTTTGTACTTGTTTCTTAAAAAGTGATTAAAATTCAACCAATCAGAGTCGCGTATATGAAGCCGATAAATTTGAAATTTTGCGCGCCATTTAAGATTATATACAGAAACGGGAGGGACTCTCTCAATTAAAAATTACGGTTTTTGATTTTTTTCTACTATATCCAAGACAGAACGGTTTAAGAAGAAAATCAAAAGTAATTGGGATTTAGGATATCTTATTCTAAAGTTTTCAGCTCTGGACTGTCAACTTTGGCATCAATTACTGAATAAATAATCCAGCTTTCATCTTTTAACCGGATTTTAAATGAAGAATTGAAGTTAGAATTGGAATTAACTGACAGCCGATATTTTTTAACCAATGAGAGTAGAGCGTCTCAATTGTCTTATTATTCAAATATGTTTTAATTGAACAATCATACCTGGAGAAAAACGTAACTCAAGTTGTACGTATGATATAATTCTATTTTAATTTTACCAATGGTATTAATATCTTGCAAACATTTTAATTTGTTTCAAAGTGAACCAACGATATCAATGTGTTATCAATGATGTTAGCATATTCAAATTGAACCAATGATATCGATTAATTTCCAATATACTAAAGGATGCGTTCCAATTTAATCAATTATATTAATGAATTCCAAATTGAACTCATGATATAAAGGAAATGAGTTTTTGCAACAAAATCTCATTTTCTAATTTTTATATCTTTTCAACCAAATGCCGTAGACCTTTGATATTTTAAACTATGCATTCTGTTAGATCAAATAGTCTAAGTTTGAAATATTAAAGGATTACGCTAATAGGTTGAAAAGATATAGAGGTTTAAAAATTTGAGTTTGTGGAAAAGGAATTGTCCTTTATTTCAAGTTATACATATATATATATATTTATAATGTTATATTATATTATATCTTATACATTCTAATTCAAATCTGCAATATCAGTTTAATATTTTACATTATAACATTATTTTACATTATAACTATATTATAATTACAAATGATTTTAAGTATGCTAAACCACAAAGCCGACATAACTAATGCATTAGTAAAATTATACCCATGCATTCCGGCCATATCTCTTCAACTTAGCTCTACCTCATTCCTAACCAAGTTTAAATCAGTTTATACAACTTTCAGGAATTTTATTTTAATTAAAACATTTCTACAGCTTGATATAACTGCAAAATAGAACATAAAGGGATACCATTTATCTGCATTGTATACAGGGTGACACAGTTTAACCATTGAACAGGGTTGACACAGTTTAACCATGAACAGGGTGACACAGTTTAACCATTGAACAGGGTTGACACAGTTTAACCATGAACAGGGTGACACAGTTTAACCATGAACAGGGTGACACAGTTTAACCATGAACAGG